CTGCGGTAAATTCGTTCTTGCATCCAAAGCACCATTCAGCACCATTGTTGCACATGCCTAGGCCAAAAGACTGGAGATGGTTCTTGTTATTGATCTCCCGCCTCCTTTCTCTATCTTCTGAACTTTAATGCTTAAAAGTCTACCAAAATATAATTTCATAATTATTTTTCAATCATAATAAAGAAACAAGTAAAGAGATTGCGACAATACTGCAGATTCTAAACTTTTAATTGATAGTGAGTTCGTATTTGTATGCGGAAAAGAAGATACTGTATTATAATTTGAATTTGAAGAGGAAGTGCAGATCTGTTGATACAGAATGTAAATCAGATGTAAATGTCATTTCTTACACAGCTAAGTAAGTTATATGAATGTAATTATTATAACATTTAAATAGTAGCCAATAAGTCTTATACAGGGAGATTTACTCGAAAGAGGCCCTGAATATTCTGTTGTAACTTCCATTAAAATGAAGCAATCTGAACCAAAAAAATACACTACATACCATGACGAATGTGAATCGTTTGCATTACATGCAATACTGGAAGTGATCTCCATTTTCTGCCAGACACACGAATTCACCAGGAAGTTGCAAACGGAGGTTAAACGTCACAATGGCTGTCCGGTGCCTACCTCATCACTCTGACATCCCAGCTTGTTCGAAGCTCCATATACTGAAGAGCACATTGCTTGTTGTTTTGTTCAGATTGCTTCGTCCTAGCGAGAGTTATTACAGACTATTCGGGGCCTCTTTCGAGTGAATCTCCCTTGTATAATAGTACATAATAGTATATATAACAATATATAATACAGTTCTATGCAAAAGTTTGGGCATCTCTGGTCAATTGACATTTTCTAAGTGAAAATAAGTTAACAAATCCTCTAAAGGGGACACACCTCTGCACATTTTAATACACTTACACATTGACATTCCATCAAGAACAACTGAAGAAAATATCCCTGATAAAACTGGAATTTGTTCTTGTGTTCACATCTCTAGCACAGATTTTGAACCCCTGGGGGCCAATAAACTTGAGATAAAAAAAGGAAAAGGTTGTTTTTTCCTTGATACTGATCCTACTCTTACTTTCTGTACCTTCATCTTAACTGAATCTGGGCAGAATAAAGAAGTCTGCACTGTGGATGAGCTTCAGTCTGTGCCAGCAAATGAGAGACACAGGAATTAGGTTTTTCAGCATGAACCTAGAGCAGCACCTAGTGTATACAATGGAACACTGCAACTGGCTCCTGGTGGATAAAGAAGAAACAGTGTGTTTACACTGTTTTTCGCACCTCCCTTCAGAGTCATACAGGCCTGAGGCTTTCTGTGTGTGCCGGAACAAAGGTTGAAGCTGAAAGACTTACTTTGCAGCTACATGTTTCTTCATGTCTATTTATCATTCATGTCATGTTTGAGCTGGTTATGGTCAGTGCAGCGATGATGAGGCTTTCTGTGCAGCCGAAGAGACATTCCAGCTATTGCAGCAACAACTGGCCATTTCTTTTTTTTTATTCTGACTCAAAACCACAAAACAAATGCTGTTTGTCTGGTTTTCCAGACAAGAAATAACAGTGCAACAAGTCAAAGCGTCGCAAGTTGTAAGTCTAGAATAATTATTGTCATTTATGCTATGGAGAGGTAATCATATAATTATCACACATAATAATACATAATTGTATAAAAAAATACAGCCATATGCATGTTTGGACACCTCCAGTCAAACTGTTTTCCTAAGAGAAAATAGGTTAATGCATCCTGTAGAGGAAACTTAATTATGGCATTTTCTTAATTATGGCATGGTTTCTACTGATTTGCTGAGTTTAATATATTGGAGAAGTGCAATATAAAACTTTTGCTAACTTTAGTAACTTTTTCACTGTAAATATAGTCATGCAAACTTATTGCCTCAAAAAATTAGTAAAGCTACTTAACAGGTTCAAATCTAAATAGCTTTATATATGAGTTGTAGTTCCTTTCTAATCTTCAGTCATCCACACTTCTGCAGCAAGTAAGGTTAAATCAACACTATTCACTTTAAATGGTTTCCACTGAGCTGGCAGTTCTGTACTTTTTCAAGATCTGCTTACTCTTGAATTAGTTAGATTAACTTAAATCAAGTACTCACCTTTGTTTAATGTATTGGCATCAATTAAACAGAGTCCACTATATTTGTATAGTAAGAAATTAACAGCTTAGATAAGAATCAAATCACCCATTCCTGAGGACTCTAATAGATTAATGTGTATTTGCCATTTTAGTAGCATTTATGGCTTCCACGCTGGGAAGTTTTTTGGGCAAAAGACTCTTCAGTTTGTAGGAATTATCCAAATTAATTGATCTCAACTAGATTTAGCTCAGTAACTAAGGATTATATGAGACATAGTAAGTGTAGATTTGTATTTGTAATTTTAACAAATTAGTAAAGTAGACAAAAAAAAAGTAAGTGCAATTGTAATGTTTTACAATGTGGATGTTTTTTCCAATATGTTAAATTCAGCAAATAAACAATAATTGTACATTAAAATGTGCAGAAGTTAGTGTTCTGTGTAGAGAATGTGTTTCACTATTGTCACTTACAAAATAAAAACAGGCCATTTCACCAAGGGAGCCCAAACTTTAGCATATCGCTGTTGTCGGAACAAAAAAAAAAAAATTGATGTTTTTCAGTTTTTGACTTAATTTGAAAATGCCTTTGCCCTTTACATTATATGTACATTTCATGATGAATGGACCAAAGAAATGACCCAAAATGTCTGGTTCTATTGACTCACATTAAAAGTAAAGTAGGCTTTTTCCTTCTCCTGTAAAGTAACTATTTTGGAGATATGAGGTTTTGCTCTGACAACAGTGATATGATTATAATGTATGCTGGATGACACTCTTTAAACCTTAGAAGTTGAGTTATTGTCATTTTGCGAAACTGATTTACATTCTGTATGGTTAGCTTTCAGTCAGCACTTCTGACCTTTTTCCTGTCTTTTTTCAGTTTCAATGAGCTACAAGTGCTAAACAACATAAAAGACATTTTCAGTTGTAGCTGACAAGTACGTCTAAGGAGTTCCTCCAAACTCATCATACCTAATCATACATAATCATCTCTTTATGGACCTCACTTTGTGTACAGGGGCAAAGTCATGCTGGAACAGGAAAGGGCCTTCCCCAAACAGTTAGGAACATATAATTGTCTAAATCATCTCTGTATTCAGTAACATTAACATTACCCTTCAGTAGAGGGGCCTAGCTCAAACCAGGAAAACCAGCTCCAGACCATTATCCAACTTCCACCAAATTGTACTGTTGGCACAGTGCATTCTGGTAGGTAGTGTTCTCCTGGCATCCACCAAACCCAAATTCATCCATCAGACTGCAAGATAGTGAGGTACGATTCATCACACCAGAGATTTTCACTCCAGCATTGTGCATAGTGATCTTAGGCTCGTGTGAAGCTGCTCAGTCATGAAAACCAATTTAATGAAGCTCCTGACATACAGTTCTTGTGCTGATGTTGCTGCCATTGGCAGTTTGGAACGCTGTAGTGAAAGATGTGACAGAGGATAGACAATTTTTATGCACTGCTCGCTTCAGCACTGTGCATCCCCGCTCTGTGAGTTTGCATGTTTGAGTTGTTGTTACTCCTTGATGCTTCCTTTTCACAATAATAGCACTTACAGTTGACTGAGGCAGATCTAGCAGGGCAGAGGTTACACAAACTGACTTCTACAATACTGTTTTTTTTTGTTTGTCAAACGGCCCAAGTCATGGATTTGAATTCTTTGCATTTTCAAACAAAAAAGTTTGGTGTAGCATGTAACTATGGTTTAAATTTTAGAACATTCCATTTACTTCTCAGTTCATACAGCCAAAATATGGAAACTAAGCTGCAAAAATAACCTGTTTTGAATTCACTGTTTTTGTTATGTCACAATAAACCAACACATTTACACATATCTGCCTATCAGGCCTACAGCAGTTTAGCTCCGCCCATTCACACTGAAGGTATAAGGAGTGTTTCAGCCTAGAGTTTTTTTAATTGTAGGGTGCAATGCAGGGCAGGTAATCATAACAGAGCTTATTTTTCATATAACATGCAAATTTTGGGCGACCCTCATTAAATTACAGGCTTTGTTGATTTTCTAAGTGAAAATAAGTTAACACACTTCTACAGAAAACACACTTCTGCACAGTTTAATGCACAATGACTGTTTATTTGTGGAATTTAACTTTTAGAAAACAAAAATAAAACATATGTTTTGGCACATTTAATATTTTATGGTTTAATTTATTTCCAATATGTAAAAATAGAAATTGCATTTGCAGAATGCAGAACATATGTAGAAAAATGGCATGTTTAAGTTTTTCTCTGCAGAGGATGTGTTAAAAATAAAGTTAACAAAATAGGCCTAAATAATTTGGGATATTCAGACTTTTGCACACAACAGTATCAGCCTTAAAGACACTGCAACAAAAACAACCTGTTTAATTTTAGAGGATAAAAAAAGGTTGGAATTTGATCATGTACTAATGAATTATGACTGTTTTTGGTAATAAAAGCAAATAAACTTCATAAGTGGACTATAGAGGAAAAAATTAAAAACAACAAAGAACAATGTAAGTTATACATGCAATCCAAAAAGAAGTTCATTTTTTTGGTCAAAATAACGCAGGTCAGTTTTTAATATTGCCATATTACTGATTCACCCATTCAGTCTTGCAAGGCATATCACAGTTGCAATATATAACAGTATAATCGCAATGCTAGTATTTTGCCCAAAATGGTCATCATGTCTGGAATGTGTTAAACCGTTTGGCTGCTATAGGACACCTGTTTAAATATCTTCAGCACTGTACAACATGAGTACAACATGGTCAGGCATTGTCAGAATGGTAGTCTACTTAAGTGTGCAAGAAAAAGCAAGCACAAAATGCGCACATCCTGAGGAAGCAACGGTCATTTCCTGGTCAAGGAAAAAACAAAAGAAAGAGGCTTTGTACGGGATGGGTCTCGCTCCACGACTCTTTACATCATACGTTCTCACCAGTGTCTACACACACCATCACCGCTCACCTGGGACGATGGAGCGCTGGCCTCCCTGGCTCACTCTGGTCCTGATTAGTGTATCAACACTGTGTAAGAATTACAAGCTTATTCAAATTTGTATTGCACTTCTTTTAATCCTTCATTCACCTTCATATTGTATTCAATATGCTCTTTGTCTTTTCCTCCCATGTAGGCCAAGATAGCAAGGCACAGTTACAATCAGGTAAGTCATACATTCATACACTTTAGCAGTAGCATACAAAAAGACAAAAATTTGTTTCATTCATTTGAAATGATGTAGACATTGAAGTCAAGTAAACTCAATGCATTCTTTTTTCCTGTTGTTGACGGGTTCTTTGATGATGCCATAGAAGAGCTACAGTCGTACAGGGAACAAACCTATATGTAGCACTGTCCTGCTAATTTTACTCCACAATTTTAATTTATTTGCTAATCAGCAAATAAACAGTAATTGTACATTAAAATGTGAGGACGTGTTCTATGTAGAGGACGTGTTAACATACTTTAATTTAGAAAATCAACAAACCACATCATTTGACTGGGGTGCCCACACTTTTGCATACAACTGTATGTGAGTGTACATTTTGTTCTATAGTGCCATGCTTGAAAAAGAGATCTGTGAGGGTGTAGAACCTTCACATTATACAGATTAAAAGATTGTTTCTAGAGCTTTAACATTAAATGAAGGTTCTTTTAATGTTTAAAAAGTTCTCTGCCTTCACAAATATCATTTACAAGAATGGTTCTCCAAAGAACCATCAATTGAAGGTTTTTTTTTTTAATGGAACCAAAAATAGTTCTTCTATGGCATTACGCAAATCTTGGGCTTGGTGTATGGGCTTTGGTGCTTTGGAGATAAAAGCGAAGCTCCTGGTCTACAGACAGTTTTAGTTCATCTGCTTCTCGTGGACAAAAAAAGCTACTTTTAATTCTCACAAACCTGACCTCTTAATTTTTTTCAAAGCAAAATTCTGATATAGTGAGATTTATTGGATGTATTTTTAGACAGGGTGGATATCCAGCAGGCGAACGCTTTAATCTTTGTGAGATGCTTGGTTATGTGCTGTTTGTCGTGTCTTGAGAAGTTTTCGTTTGGACTGTTGCAGGTTGTTGAGTCTAAATTTAATTGAGGGATAAAACAAAATTAGCAAAGCATGTCCAAAAGCCAAGAAACTGTCTAATCTGCAAGCTGCAAGAGTGAGGCTGGCTTATGCTTGTGGTTTTGTGCTCTGGGGACCATGCCTTGCATGCTGAAGTCATCTAGCATGGATGTAAGCTGCTGTATTTGCTAGCTGGGGTGAGAATCAGTAGTTGTTATCACCAACACTGTGTTCTCCTGGGAGAATATGTTGTTTTTTGTGTTTTTGTCTGCTTTCCTTCCTTCTTCCTCCTCCTGTTAGAAACTAGTCTCCTTTAGTTTCTGAGTGGCTTTCCTGTAGCCCATCCAAGCGGTCATTGGGCAGAAATTTATATCAAATTGAAAATATAATAATATTCCCATCTTCTACTTGCAAAAGTTTAGAATTTTTACTCTGTTTCAGTGAGTCCTGAGTAAGAAATAATTAGACCCCACTCATCTCTAATAATTGTGTAGTTACACATTAACAATACATGCAACAGCAATGTAACTACTGCTGATGTATTCACTGTTACAGATGGATTACAGTAGCACAGATATTATAAGTACACATGTATAAATTATTAGTCATTAGTGATTTGGGGGTACATATATTTTAATTAAGTACATAAAACTTACTTTTAAAGATATCTTCTGTTGCTGTGTAAATACCATCACATTACAGAATGGTCTAAACCCAGAAAATGGTTACCATGTCACAACACAAGCATACTACTACAGCTAGCTAAATGTTGACATTTGCTGTCAAAGTTCAGCAGTGTGAGTTCTCTCATAATGTTACACCTTTATTACACTCAGAAAAGTATTTGGGGGGGCAGCAGTCCATACAAATGTAATTACTCTCACCCTGTTGTGTCACACCTATGTGTAATTGCATAAGAAAAAATATGTTTTGCAACTTTCAGATACACTTTTGTAAATACATAAGTAAAAATTGAACTTGACACTGTCTGTACATAAGCTATACTACTGTAATCCACAATGAATACATTAAGAGTAATTACACTTTTTGTTGCTTGTATTGCTAATTTGTAACTATACAGGTATTAGAGACACATATAAAGTGGGACTGAAGTTGTAACAAGATTTTTTTATAAGTAATTTTGGACCATTTCTATTGGTATATTCATCATGATCTTTTTATACATTTCATACAATAATTTCTTGTTGTGGCCAAAATCTAATTAAATTCAGATGTGTTGAAAAGCATATCTATGCTTTTCAACTTATCTATTCAACAATCTATGCTTTTCACCAAATCTATGCTTTTCAACTTATCTGATTTGACCACCACTCTTAAAATACAAAGCATTCTGATTATTATGGAATCATCTACAGCTCTGTTCATCATTCTAGACAAATTCGGAATTTCTTATTTTTTAAAGCTTCTTAAAAATGATTTAAAAACTCTCACGTACAGCACCAGCAGCAATAAGGATTATTTTGTACACATAATAAGCCACAACATCATGACCACCAGATAAAGCAAATAATGTTTATTTTGTAACAAGTAGCATATCAAGGTCTAGGATATATTAAATAAGTGAACTGTCCAAGGAGGGATAAAGCATGAACTGGTGACACGGTGTTGGGTGCCCAAGTCTCATCGATGCATGAGGGTAACAAAAGCTGACCCATCTGGTCCAAACCAACAGACGGGCTACTGTGGCTCAAATGACTGAAATTTTTTAATGATGGTCACAGGAGAAATGTGTTACAAGACACCAGTGCATTGCACCCTGTTGTGTACGGGGCTGCTTAGCTGTAGATCAGTCAGAATGCCCATGCTAACCCTTTACCACCAGCTTAAGCACCTATAATGTTCATATGAACATCGGAACTGGACCTTGGAGGAAAGGAAGAAGGTTGCCTAGTCCAACGAATCCCATTTTCTTTTGTATTATGTGGATGTTGCATACATATGCGCTGTTTACCTGTGGAAGTGGTGGCACCAGGATGCACTGTGGGAAGATGACAAGCCAGTGGAGTGAATGCAGTGCTCTGGGTAATGTTACGCTGGGTCCAGACTTTCAAATGGCGTTTATGTTGACGTCACCTGCCACCTACCTAAACATCTTTGTGGACCAGGTACGCCCCTTCATTGTTATGGTGTTCCTCAAGAGCAGTGGCCTCTTTCAACAGCATAATGCTCTCTCCCACACTGATTTTTGTTTGGGAATGATTTGAAGAACACATTGAAAAGTTCAAGTTGTTGCCCTGGCCTTCAAATTCTATATCAGTCTGATTGAGCATCTGGGGATGTGCTGGAACAATGAGTCTAATCCTCCATTTATAGGACTTAAAGAATCTGCTGCTAATGTCTTGGCGCCAGGGTTGCCTTGGCAGGGTGGAGCTGATTTTGGACCAACATATTAGGCATAATGTTTTGGCTCTTTTTTTTATGTCTATGTGCAACACAATTTGTTTTCTACTATTAGAAAGAGTGATGATATACAATACCTTGGGGCATATTTCAGTGTTTCTCAGTCTTGGTCCTGGAGTACCACTGCTCTGCATTTTGTAGTGTTTTCTCTGCTCTTAACCCACCTAGTTCACCTTAGTATGGACAAAACAGTCAAGCTGTGCTGTTCTGACTAAACAACCTCTCTGTACAGCATTCACCATTGACTGGGTGAAGCTGACCCTTCTGCCAAACATCACAGTGGAGCACGGCACCAATGTGACACTGCGCTGTGAGGCCAAGGTCAGCCACAGCTACTCTCAGCTCATACACACCTTCACCTTCATGCTGGACAGCAACGTGATCTACTCCAAAAACAGCAGTGAGGCCGTGGTGGAACGCAGCTTAACTCCAGCCAGAGCCTCCAACTCAGGCAATTACAAATGCCGTGTCAACATCCACAACAAGAAGCGGACCAGCAATTTCCAGAAACTGACCGTTGAAGGTACAACATAGAGCAGAAAATCTCCTGGACGATGATGTGGCATATTATGAACTGCCCATGAAAATTCTAAGGACACCATGTTTCATTGCAGCTACCTAAAGTGACAATCAGCCAAGACATCTTTCATGTTATGCTGTTCTCTGCAAAAATGGGCAAAAGTACAGGAAAAATTCAGGCTTCAAAATAGCTGTCTCTGTTGTTTTTAGATAGGTCACATACTTTTGTCCATTTTTATAGACAACAGTATGCCATACAGTGTCTGAAACTACATAAGTCTATTTGAGATTCCTTTAAAGGGAATTCCACCTAGTTTTCAAAATTTCAGCATAATTAAGTGGTTGAGATGTGAGCAAAGTCATTGCTAGTGGTTTAATGTGAAAAGCTGCTTAATGAGTCAGAACTGTTCGCAGTGGTGGTGATAGGAACCAGATGTTATGTTTAATGCTTCTAACTGTTCTCACCAAAGGTTATTATATGAAATAGTTATAAACATGCTGACTGACACCACAGACATTGCTTTCTGATAATTTTGTGATAAGATTTTGGTTTAAAAAATATATATTTTTAAATGTGTTCATGCAGCTATATTTGTGTTGTAGACATGTTAACCCACGTCTTCTATCACCACCACCATAGAGAAATCTGAGGCAGTCATTTTCTCTACAATTCTCTACGATCTCACATCAGATCAATCTAAATGACTTCATTTACATCTTAACTGTTGGAAAATTGTTGGAATTCACCTTTAACAGCTCCACACAATTTGAGGCAAGTGTCATTATTTCATTCCAAGCTTTGATTTCTTCTTGGCTGCAATAGTCTCAAAGCTCTAATATTTAAAAAGCCAACTTTTGACACCAAATACATCTTGGCTGATTAATTACACTTACAGGTAAAGCCCAAGTTGTGTAACTAAATGTGATATACACTTTTGTCATATGAATGGTCAAATCTTCCAAGATACCTGACTGTTCATATGAAGAAAATGTGTGCATCAGTTATAGTTGCTTAAATGTATATATACTGTAGTGTTGTTTTCCTCAACATTTGTTTTTAAATAGTATAAAAAAGTACAGCACTGTGCAAAAGACATACACCTTTTATTTAATTTAGTTATTCATTTTCATTTTTAGATAAAAAAAAAACAGAAAACACATATTTAACTGAAAATTAAGCCATAACAACTAAATATATACGTATATAATTTTTTTTTCCCCCAGAATGCAGTGTGTACACCCATTGTATTCATTCCAGATTCTATTCTTATCAGAAGAATTGCATTCAGTTTTTCAAAGAATTATGCAGACATTTTAAAGAAATGTGTTATTGCATTTTCTGCTTCTCACCTTCCAAATAATCTCAAACACATTCAGTGATGTTGAGATCTGGACTTTGGGGTGGTCAGTCACCAGTAGCTTTTTTGCATATATATTTTTTTCTTTTTTGTTAATTTCTTTTTCTCAGTAAAGTTTTCTTGAAAGAGTCCAATTTTCTTTTTATCTTTTAATCATTTTTTGAGCTCCAGTTTTTTCCACTAATTTTCCTTTGACTTTTCCTTTTTTATATGTGTGAATTGATTTTTTTATCTAATTTCTTTTTTGCACAGTACTGTAGGTGTTACCAAACTTTTTATAGTCTGCATGAACCAAATCAGTCCACCAGTGAGGCTGCCAGTTCTTCACAAAATGACAAAAATGGCATTGGATGTTTAAAGCTGTTTCTCACTGAGTCTCCACCTATTCAGGCTTGCAGCCTCCACAGTTGAAGGTACGGCCTGATGTCGTGTATGAAGGTGATGAGATTTCGGCCACATGCAGCGCCCCAGAGGAGACTGGCAGCCTGTACTTCTACTTCTACAATAATGGTCAAGAATTACCAGTACCTTCCAGCACCAACTCAGTGACCACTACCATAGAGGTCAAGGAGAGAGAAAACTATCTGCACTGTAACTACAGGCTTGTAATGCAATTCAGAGAGGTCTTTTCCAACAACAGCAACACTGTGAAAGTCATTGTGCAAGGTAAAACCCTCCCAATTCAGCTGACCTAGTGACTCTATAGTCTGACAGTGACTCTTTGGTTTAAGTAATCTCGAAGTGCTTATCAGTTTCAGCCCTTAAATGCAAATATCAGCAATTGTTCACACGTATCTTGAGTTGCTAGAGACCCAATAACTAACATAAACTGATCTACAAACTGCTATGATAGTGTAAAACTATCAAAGCATTTTATTTACAATAACAAAATAATAGAATACACACATGGATTGTGTTAGTTGTGATATTTTCTTTTTTTTTAGCTTGGGAAAGGGGAGGGCATTAGGTCCTGGGTCAGTAGTGACCCGAGGTATACAATAAAATACGTAGCCATTACAGAACTTGATGCTTCACTCATCTGTTCACTGAGTACCACATCTCAGTCTCCATCTTCTGCCGTGGTTTTATCATTTAGATCCTGAAGGAATCTGTGTAAAATTAGGGGCGTCAAAAATAAATAATTTACTTACATAAATAATGATAACAGAAGAATTAACAATGGAACAAACAGCTGTTTATTAACTGACAAGTTAAACCAGCTGTTTACAGAATGTTAAATTTGTTAACTTTTTAAATTGTTGTTATGGCTACAACTGTTGCATCTGAGTTTCAAGTAAGTTGTTTCAAGTAAAGGCTCTTTACATTTGCACCTCAAGTGCAATTTAGTTTCATGTTTCATAGTTTTCAAGTTTTAAGCAACTAAACTTGCATATAAGTTTCTGTGTGTAAAGCCAGCCTTAGGGTTAAAAGATGGAACGGCATAGTAACACCCAACATAAAACTTTCTTCAACATATCTGCTGCCTCTGTAGTGTGCAGTGCACCTGAATGAAGTGCATGGTCAATTACCACCCTGTATGTTTTTCCTGTATTTAGTAAAAGATCAGAAATCCCTCTCCAAACACACTTACAATTGAAGTCAATGGGCAGTTGCATCCATTAGAGTAGATGGGAAGGTTGAAAAACACTGCACTGTTCCTTTAAGCATGTTAAACTGTTATGATATTTGATTGTGCAGCTATATTTATTCTGTTTTTCAGATTATAATATTACTTCTTCAATAAGGATTCGGCCTGATAAGAATGTTGTGGAGGGGGACCGAGTGTATGTTAGTTGTAATGTATCAGGTTACCCCCAAACTGACCTTGAAATCTTCCTGATCAAAAACAACCTGCTACATTACGGCCATGCATCGTTCACCTACAGCTTTGACGCGACTGTCAAAGACTCTGGAGAGTATGTGTGTAAAGTGGAAACGGGCAAAGTGCAGAAGATCTCCACAGACAAACTAGTCGTAGCAGGTAACTGACCAGCATATTACTTCATATAATTCAATACATCAATAATACCGCAATAATCTCTGTAATCTGTCTAGTGCTTGTCCGTATACAAATAATTTGAATGCTCCAAGGTAGGTAGAGCAGCCTAAATCAATACCCAAGTAAAAGTGTTGTTATTTTAATACATACTCATAAAAGTAAACATTTCCTAGTAAAATCCCAGTTGAATAAGTGTGAAAAAAAGTTCAGGAAAAAAAAAAAACAGCTGGAGTTTTCAGTTCCTTATAGAGCTTCTTTAGAACGCCTGTACCTCTCTGCATAGGAACTGAAGTTTTTTTTTTAGAATAATAAACTAGTCTTCATCTGCTTCTACAACAAATGAATGGAAAAAAGGTTTCACAAAACAAAACCGTCTGTACACAAATAACTCCTTCAAATTCAAATCATAATAAAATACCTCTTTTTAAGCTATGGTATATGATTGAAAGTGTCTTGACATTTAACACCCATCTTAAAAGAATGCCCAATGCCTGCTCTGACAAAACGCGGTTACAGCATCAAAGCTTCATCAAGATATTCTACTGATTTTATTTTTTTTTCAGACAGTCAAACCAAACCATTTAAAACAGCAAGATTAACTGTTCCAAATAATGATGCCACTCATATGACATCAACTTTCATCTTTTTTAACTGTATGCTTGGAGCAGCTTTTTTGTTTGTTTGTTTCTTTGTTTTTTTAAGAGACTGGTGGACACAACATATCCTCATAGTAAATCCTTTGTGCAATACTTTGCTATCAGTGTTCAATACCAAAAAGTATACTTGAGATAAAAAGTATATTTGAGATATGAGTAAAGCAATTCCTGACATAGTAAAAAGTATATTTGAGTGTGATACCCTGAGCAGTGTGGGGAAGAAGAAGCACAGAGACGGTGACGTTAACAGACAGAGAGCATTTATTCCTTCTCTCGAAAATATAACAAAGAAAAAAAAAACAAACAAACAAAGGAACGCTAGGCTGTGTGTGGAAGCTCTTCGCTACTACAGGCTTCAGAGTTGCTTCTGTCTCTGGAGCTTAATTTTAAGTTAATTTAAAGTTAATCTCTCTGCCCGTCTGGTCCTGTCTCCCAGGTCTCTCTCTCCCTACTGGGGAAAGAAGTTCATATTAGTAGAGAAAAGAGACAATTAACCATGGGTGTTAACCTCTGGCCCAAGCCCTGCCCGGCAGACAGCTGCCACATAGAGATATAAGTACTATAAGTGAAAAGTATACTTGAGATAAAAGTAAAAGTAAATTTGAGATAAAAGAAAATTTGGGATAAAAGTATACTTAAAATTAAAAAGTATATTTGTGATTAATTTAAAGTATGCTTGAAGTAAAAGTAAAAGTGTATTTGAGAAGTAAAATAAGTAGAATACTATAATTTGAAAATACGCAAAATAAAAAAATACCAAAAATACAAATGCATCACAGTCTTACCCAAATACATGTAACTGAATAAATGTAACTAGTTACTGCTCTCCTCTGCTGATTCCTCTGTCTTCCATTTTATCACGCAGAGTTGTTTTCGATGCCTGTTCTGAGCATGACTCCAGAGCAGGTTTTTGAAGGACAGTCGTTCTCTCTGAGCTGTTCGAGTTCCATGAAGTTCCAACAAAGAATCAATCACACAGACGTGAAGTACACCCTGTATAAAAACCAGCACCCTCTAAAGACAGGACAAATCTTCAAATATACAGCAACCCAAGCCACGAATGGGAATTACACCTGTATGGCTGAGGCTAAGGGCATCAAAAAAAACAGCAAACAGCTGATTATTAATGTTAAAGGTAAGGAGTCACTAGAATGACTTGGGATAAAATCTTGTTGCATTAACTTACATTAAACTTTAAGAATGTATTTTCCTTCTCCTCTAAAATTACTTTTTTGGAGACATGAGGTTTGTTCTGACAGTGACAAAGTAATTTTAAGGTTCTAAACCACTTAAAGGTTTTTCCCAGTACTGTGCATTCAAGCCTAGAACTATTTATGTAACATTTATTTTCAAGTGTGTGATACATCGCATCATCTTTACTGTAACATCTCATAGTTGTGACACTGGAAAATGATTCTGCTATCAAGTGCTATCAATTATCCTAATTTTGTTACTACAACAAATATTACAAATATTGTAAATAAAAGCTGCACATGAAAGTTCTTTCAATTTGTGATTAAAGTTGTAATTTCATGATCTTGGAAAAAAATGTGGTATCCAAATTTCCCACTTGCCAACTGACCCTTTCATCATGGTGGAGGAATAGCTGGTTTTAGTGTTTGGTGGTTGGTAACTCTTTATAGTTCTTAATGAACCTTCTGACCTTCACTGTCATTGCCAACACAAAATTCTCTCAGTAGAATACTGTATTCATCATTTTATTGTGAAATCAACTCATGTTAACACATTTTCTGTAATAAATGCAACTTATTGTAAGGTTGATGTTGAGCTGTCCTGCACAGCATTATGGGATATGACAGTAACTGAAAGTTGAAAAGGCATAAATGTTGTAACAAAACCATTTTAAGTGTTGTAATTCTGATAGTTTAGGTTTCAGTATTTTATAACTAAGTTTTGTTTATTCATTTATTTTTCCATTTTTGTAGTTTGACCTTTTTTGATCGTTTAAATGGTGGAACAGGTGTTGACACAATGTTATTGTTTATTGGTACTGCCACATGATTTTGTGCAAATTATTAGCAAAATTAAAATGTATATCTACATTTAAAAAAAATGCTTATTTAAGATATTATGTCTATATATATCATTAAATGTGGTGAGTAAATATTGATTCCACTGATATTATTTATAGGCCTATTAAAATTAAAAGTCCTTCATTTAAAGTCATTTGCAGTAGAAAAACGCATTACTTTTACAGTTGCAAAGATATGTGAGATATAGGAGCATATAGGAGCATAAATATATGTGTGTGTGTGTGTGTGTGTGTGTGTGTGTGTGTGTGTGTGTGTGTGTGTGTGCATGTGTGTATGCGTACAGTGCCAACTGTTTCTTTTCTTTGTTAAGTTATTATTTCAGAGAGAAACAAGCCTGTATTACAAGAATAACGATACATGTCCCTCTGTCTTATTTACTTCCTCTCACAGTGCCTGTCTCGACCCCAGTCATCCGTACAGTTGGAGAGGTGATAGTAAAGCGGCCATTTCAGATTCTGTGCGAGAGCATGCAGGGAACACTGCCAATCAACTACACCTTACTGAAGTCCCAGAGCCAACTGTCCCAGAAGACCACAACCGGACCTCTTCGCAGAGCTCTGTTCAATATTACTTCTATAAATCAAAAAGATGAGATCCACAGCTTCAAATGCCAGGCTGAGAATGGAGCAGGAAACAGCGAACTCAGCCAAGCCCTCACTTCAGCAGTCAAAGGTGAAATCAGCAGTCATTGATAAACTGATACAAAAGTGATCGAATGTATACTGTATATCCAAAAGTTTATAGACACCTTGTAATTGGAGAATTCAGCTACTTTAAGGAGCCCCAAATGCTGACACAGATGCTCAATTGTGCACACAAAGTGTGTTTAATCTCCATCTCCTAATTCAACATCAGTACTGACCTTTAGCTCCTGTGTTTGAATGCAATCAACTCCTCACAGCAGTGTTCCGACTTCTAGTGTAAAGCAGTTCCAGTTTAGAGGCTATATCTGCAGTAAAAGGAGGGACAAACTTCATAATAATAGTGAGGAATACTAGACGAGCAGAAAATTGAAAATCTGTGATTTTTCCATCTGTGGAAATTTAAAGGCAACCAGGTTGCTTACTTAAAAAAAAACACATAAATAAAAAATAAATAATAATAAATTATAATATAATAAATAATTTATTTTCATTTATTTTTTTTACAGTGTGGAGTCAAAGACTACTTTTCACTTGTTAAGCTGATAATATAACTTGTATTTAGAAAAGAATGCAAAAAGAATAATTTTCACTAGTGGTCTTAGGACACTACTCTTTAGCATATTATTGCTGTCTCTGATTTTTATTTTTCTAAGTAATTTAAACACATCAACTCACATTATGTAAAAAGTTCATGCCTTTATACATTAACTTGCATTAAATGTTTAGAATTTTTTTGCCTTCTCCTGGGAAAAGTAGTCTAAGATTGCTTTGGTTTTGTACCACCATGTTAGCACCTGTTTTACTCCACTAGCTCCCTAATGGCTTAAAATGTGCCTTCTTTCATTTTTAAAATCATTTCTTACTTATAGCAAATAAAATAAGTAAATCAGTTCTGTCAATGAGTGCGTTTACATGCACTTAATAATTCGATAACTGCAGAAAATCTGAATTTGTCAGTAATCTAATCAATGCGTTTACATGCACTTGAGTAATAAGATAATGGGGAAACTCTGGGTCTACATGAGTCAGGCAGTAATTGGATTTCTGCTTTGCAACTGGTCACTAAACTAGATCCCATAGATTTTTGTTGGGGTAGGATAATCAAAGTGCACATAATGTTGTGGTGCATGCTGGGGACAGCACACTGTGAAACAGGCTAATATTAATAGAAAATAAAAATACTTCTGTGGTCTGAAGAGGATTGTGTCAGGTTAGGCCTGTGGACCTTGTGTTTGACACATTTAAATCCTTAATTTCATCAAGCATGTATTTGGTTTCAGCGTCACTCCAAAAGTATTTGTTGCCATCTTGTGGCAACACTGATTTTTTATTTCTGGTAACACCGTCTGTTCCGCATATGTGCAGACTGAGAAATCTGAAAGAAATCAGAGTAAGAGTACACATGCACTGAGAAATCTGATTACTGAGCTACAATCCAGCTCTCTTAATTTGATTACCTAATCGGATTTGTAGACCTTACTCCGATCTAAAAAATCAGAGTATGCTGTTTACATAACCATTTGAATGATCAGATAACTGCAGAAATCGGATGATCGGATGATCGAGTGCATATAAACGCACTCATTGGTGTGGATTCTAAACATTCAGTCAATACCATATTTGAGTTTGTAAGTAGAAGAAGAGATATTTTTCTAAGAAATGAGTTAAAGTCAAGTTACTGTTGTGCATCTTTTTGACATTGAAACAAACAGAAGAAAGTCTGGTGTGGATTTTGACCTGTCAATACATGATATAAATCAAATGTAATTCATTATGAAATTAACTGTCTTGTTTCGGTTACAGTGCAACTACACATCAATAATTATGCCCACACCCCTCTCTATTTTGCCTGCAACAATTAGAACCTGTGTCCAAGCCGAAGCTGACCCTTTCCCCTGAGGACCACACAGTCACAGAGAAGAAGAATGTCACTCTCTTCTGTAGTGTCAAAGAGGGCACTGTGCCAGTGACCTTCAGCTGGTACCGCAAAGGGACAACCCAACCCCTCTTCTTGAAACCCTTCAACCACACTAAAGGAGAGTATGAGATCTCGTCCTTTAAGCGAGAATTTAGAGGAACGTACTACTGCGAGGCTTTCAATGATGCTAACGAGACCAAGAGGAGTGATGATGTCAGTATTACAGGTCAGACTTCAATCAGTATGTTAACTCACTGCCGTATGCATTTACACATACCCACATTTGTGTACGAGAGGAGATATTTAGTTAAGATTTGAATTAGATTTTTCTTTTTTTTCTGGCATTAAAAAACAAAAACTAACAAACAAAAAAAAGTGCAGACTGTTCATAATAAATGTAAATGAAATGTAAATGTAGTTCATTATGCACGTAGCTATGCACATGATTATGTAATCATGCTAATACTCATATAACTTAGCGAAGTTATACAATGGCAAACAAAAGGATGAGAACTCTGGAATTATGTAGTTTTCTGCATCAATTGGTCATAAAATGTCATCTGTTCTTCATCTATTACGTGATGAAACACAGATAACATTACCAGTTAGGAGAGCCTGAACTGCATTCATAATTTTGTCAATATTCCTACAATTGGGGATAAATATTGTATGTCTTTTTTACAGTGAACTTGGCAGGCTGGAAGAAGGTTGTCATTGCTGTGATTTGCATCTTGATTTTGGTGCTCATTGTCACCATTCTTGTCCTTTTCCTGAAGAAAACAGGAGCACCCCGCAAAAGAAAAAGGGCAGTAGATTTGTCCGTGTAGGTATTTTTTTTTTCTTTATCCTAATTTTTCTCATTAAATCAAGATGTGATATCACTGAATTAATGAGTATTTGCTTCATTAATATTTATGAATTTTTGGCGTTCTCAGAAAGTCGGCACGCCCTAAATCTAATGACCCCATGAGGATGAGCCTCACGCTTGACATTGAGGACAACACTGCTTTCAATTGTAATTTCTGCTTTTTCACTTACATTTACACATACAGTCCGTTCACGTCCTACTTTTATTGTTGTTTCACTCTCTCAGAGAGATATGAATAGTCAAAGTGTGGATACACTTGATTGGTTAAATGCTGTTCTTAATCTCAGATTTGCTTTGATCTAAAACATATGCTGAGGTTTCTTTAAAGAATCTACATTATAGGTTTCAACCACCTCCTTGTTTTTACGCTCATTGTCATTTTATCAGCTCTACCTACCATATAGGCCCCTTTCACCCTGTTCACCGCAGAGCAGGTACTATATGGGTGGTAGATCATTCTCAGCACTGCAGTAACACTGACGTGGTGGTGGTGTGTTAGCATGTGTTGCGCTGGTATGAGTAGATCAGACACAGCAGTGCTGCTGGAGTTTTTAAACACTGAGTCCACTCACTGTCCACTCTATTTAAATTTACATTTACAGCATTTAGCAGACGCTCTTATCCAGAGCGACTTACAAAACGTGCTTTGTCAGAGCAGTGCAATACAATACAACACATAAGTGCAGTACAATACAGTACAATCAATACTTAATTCAGTGCTCATTTAAGTGCTGTATAAACAGATGTGTCTTCAGTCTGCGTTTGAAGACAGCGAGAGACTCTGCTGTACGGACAGCCAGTGGGAGTTCGTTCCACCACCTGGGTGCCAGCACAGAGAACAGTCTTGATGCTTGCCTTCCGCGCGCCTTGAAGGATGGCGGGTCAAGCCGAGCTGTGCTCGAAGATCGAAGGGCTCGTGGTACAGTTCGAGATTTCATCATTGCCATCAAGTAGGGAGGGGCTGGTCCATTTTTGGCTTTGTAAGCAAGCATAAGGGTTTTAAATCTGATGCGTGCAGCTGCAGGAAGCCAGTGAAGGGAGCACAGCAGTGGGGTGACGTGGCTGAACTTGGGGAGATTGAAGACGAGCCGTGCTGCTGCATTCTGGATGAGTTGCAGAGGCTTGATGGCCTGCATTGGAAGACCAGCCAAGAGCGAGTTGCAGTAGTCAAGCCTTGAGATGACAAGAGACTGCCCTAGCACCTGGGTGGCCTCTCGAGTGAGAAAGGGTCGGATGCTCCAGATGTTGAACAGCAGAAATCTGCATGACCGAGTTAGGTTCGCAATGTGAGTCGAGAACGATAACTGGCCATCCAGAACCACACCAAGACTTCTTGCCTCTACAGACGGGACAATCAGAGAGTTCTCAAATGAGATGGCAAGATCATGATGAGGACCTGTAGTTACAGGGATGAATAGTAGCTCAGTCTTGCTAGGATTGAGCTTCAGGTGGTGAGCTACCATCCATGAAGAGATGTCAGACAGACATGCCGAGATCCGACTGGAAACCTGTGTGTCAGAGGGTGAGAAAGAAAGCATTAGCTGAGTGTCATCAGCATAACAGTGATAAGAGAAGCCATGAGATGATATAACATTGCCAAGAGAGCTAGTGTACAGAGAAAAGAGAAGAGGACCTAGCACCAAGCCTTGTGGGACACCAGTGGAGAGCCTGCATGGAGAGGATGTGGACCCTCTCCATGTTACCTGGTATGAGTAATCCTCCAGATAGGACTTGAACCACTTCCACGCAGAGCCAGTGATTCCAAGGTTGGTGAGGACGTCCAGAATGATTTTGTGGTTGACCGTGTCAAAAGCTGCCGAGAGGTCAAGAAGAATCAGGACAGATGACAGACAGGCTGATCTTGCTGACTGGAGCTTTTCGGTCACTGCTATAAGAGCAGTTTCTGTTGAGTCTGCTGGTTTGAAACCAGACTGGTTGGGGTCCTGGAGCTGGTTCTGTGTGAGAAAGAGAGTAAAGAAAGGAGTGATACCGGTCTGTAGTTGTTGACATCAGAGCTGTCAAGCGTGGGCTTCTTCAGGATGGGAAGTACTCTTGCAGTCTTCTATTTGACACTCCTACCTTGTTGGGCCATGCTGTGGATGTAAAGTCAGAGACAGTAGCTCAACAGTTTGTGTTAATCATCCTTTAGTCCTTTATCAGTGGTCACAGGATGCTGTTGGCTGGATGTTTTTGGTTGGTGGGCTATTCTCAGTGACACTGAGGTGTTTAAAAACTCCACTCGTACCAGTGCAACACACACTAACACACCACAACCACGTCAGTGTCAGTGCAGTGCTGAGAATGATCCACCACCCAAATAATACCTGCTCTGCGGTGGTCCTGAGGGGGTCCTGATCATTAAAGAACGGGGTAAGAGGGGACTAACAAAGTATGCAGAGAAACAGATGGACTACAGTCTGTAATTGTACAACAACAAAGTGTTCCTGTATGGTAAATGGAGCTGATAAAATGGACAATGAGTGTAGAAACAAGGAGGTGGTATTTATGTTATGCTTAGTTAGTGTATTTAATCAGGCTTGGGAGAGTTACTTTAAAAATGTGTTCCATTACAGATTATTGATTATTTGTTAAGACATAAACATAATGGTAATAACATAATCATTCTTTCCATTACTTTTGGATTGCTTGTCTTCTGAAAGTCATACAATTAAGTAATGACAATAGAACAAAAATTTAAACAAGATGCCTTAAAGTTAACACAAGGCAAACAGGACAACCTCACAGTTTTATGAAACCTAATGATATCATTGCTGACTTAATTGTCTGAAAGTAAAAAAGTCGATCTGGTAGAAATCTTATTTTGAGATCCCCAATAAGGATGAAATAATTGTAATTATTCAGAGGCCATTCTAAAAACTATGGCTGGCCATCATTGGTTTTCTATCTTCTTAAACGCCTGGCTCATAATGCCTTTCATACTGGTGCTTCGTACCCACAATTGGCATTTGTGATGCAGTTTGTTAATGGTCCCTTAGCTTTCAGCGGTCCTCAGAAATCAACGTATCCAGGGAGTTTCCGAAAGGCATTCATTTCACACAAAAATTATATAAGAGCTGATTGTTCTAGTTACCAATAATGATGAATCAGACATTTTTACATTTTTGCACCCCTCATTCGAAAACCATTGAAGAGCAAAATCATATATGTGAAAATGAAGCCAACTTTACCACTCACAAGGCTTTTTTGTTTCGTTTTGTGTTATTCTTCTTAGTAAATGTTCGCTCACTCAGGCATGTCAACAAAAGTTAGATTCATAGCTATTCGTACTGTAGAATTTTATATGGCAAAAAGCAGGAATAAAAGAGCTTATTTCCAGTTTGCTGCTGTACAATCTGACATTGTGTAAAATGAGGGTGAATGCCTGATTCAAACATCTTTGAAAAAATGTTGCAGATATGATTTGTGCCAAAAAATATAAAATACCTACCAAAATTATAGGTTGGCTAAATAAAAGACCATGAACTGCTGCAGAGGAGCCTTGTTCTTCAGAATTCTCTTCTTGTGGCAGCGCTTCCCAAAATGACAATTAGTAATGCTAATAACAAAAAATCGGTGTCACTTCATTTTGATAGTTTGCTGTAGATGTCTTGTAGATGCTTAGTCCATCTTTAACTAACATTCAATGCAACTGAACTTGAAGTTGAGTGTGAAAGATTCAATCAAATCTAACCTTAACCTTAATTTCAACCTAAACCTTAACCTACTCCTAAACCTAACCCTAACCTTAACTTCAGCTTAAGCCTATTCCTAACCCTAACCTTAATGTTCTTAATGCCAGAATGTGTCTGTAGAGGACCATCAAAATAAAGTGTCACCAAAAAATTTTACATGGTGCGGCTTTAAAGTATGAAGATAAAATTAGGAAATAAGTATAAAAGGGAATTCGGTAACACTTTCTATGAATGTCAAGTTTGTAAGCATCTATAAACACATTTATAACATGTTATAATGCATTCATAAGGAATTATAAACATGGTTATACATATTTATAAAAATGAATTACACTGAAATAGAATTTATAGCCCTGTTTATTATACATTATGAATTGTTAATATATGCAGTATAAATAGTGTTAATAGCATGTTATATACTGTCAGTGCTCAAGAAGTCAGTCCCAGCTTGGACAGCATAAAAGACATTAAGACAAATACAAAGTTTATTTACACCCTGAGATTTCCAATATTTTATTTCTCACTGCTGGTGCTGTCAGGGCTGCATCAATAGGGCTTCAGTCATGAATATTCAGATGCTCCAAACAGTGCTAATTTCTGCTAGCATTCTATTGGATATGCAGTGTTAAGTTAGTGCCAAGCTAACAGTGGTGTACACAGACTTTTACATATTGGTTAAAACACTATGGATAGTAGCACTAGTTTAAAATCTGACATTTGAAGCCTGTAATGTGCTTTATTGTGTATGTTTTAGTGTTTCAGTAAATTCCTCAGTAAATACTTCAACTTGAAGCCTCACTCTTAACACTGGAGGAAGCTTTAGTACAGTACGCTTCTCTTTACTTAGAGTGGACAAATACGACTTATGAGCTCTTATAATTTGTTATGAACAGTACTTATAATGTATTATGTTAACAATTCATAATGCATAATAAGCATGGCCATAACATGTAATGCATTTTTATAAGTATTTATAGCCATGTTTATAATGCCTTATGAATGCATTATAACATGTTATGAATGTATTTATAGATGCTTACAAATGTGACATTCATAGAAAGTGTTACCAGGAATTCTTTATTAGGGGTGTAACAATTCACGTTTTCAGGTTTTATATGATTTTTCAAATCTGAGATAAAGAGCTGATTCGATTTTCAAATGCATTAAAAAAGTATTGATTCTACAAAGCTACTAGGCATATATGTTTATATGTATACAAATACACAAAATCTACAAAGTCTGGCTTCACTCCAATAGATAAAAGTTCTCATATAGAACTGATGCACAGGCAGAATTTAAAGGGAAAAAATTGCAACCTCTAGAATTTTATACACAGCTTTAGACAAAAAGCCTAGATAAAAATATAGAAAAGCTCTTGACTGGTAGTGTATGAATGCTAAAGGAAATGCTGGTCTACTGTATGTGGCTTCTAAGATTCCACTTTTTCGTTTAGCTAATTCTTTGCTTTTTACTTGCCTCCACCCTGTCTTCCTTCCTCTTTCCCCTGAGTTTTTATTGCACTAGATGTGTGGAAGTAAGTTAAACAGAGCAGCAAGGAAACAGTACTTCATTTTGATACAGTAAAGTTGATGACCTGAATCATGCTGGAGGCTGACCTCGTGAAATAAACAGAGCCTGTTTGAACTGCTGTCCAAACCTGTTTCCTCACAGCCTCTCCTGGTGTCATGGGCAGGAATGTGTGGAGTGAGGATGTGTCAGACTCAGGTAAGGACCTGAAAAGTTTATGATGATTTGATTTGAGTTGTTTTCAGTTCATGTTTTGCAGGAAAGAAATCACCCTTTATGTTTTGCTTGTTTTTAGTCATTTCCTGACATCGTGCTAATAAAAAAAGAGCCAGAAGTGTAATTACAGAATTAAAATGAAATCATAGCAAAATGACAATCTACTGAGGTCTAGGGTCTAAAACTACCTAATCAGCATCTCAATTATCAATTATCTGTGAAGAAACCCACACTACAGCCTTCTTGCATCAGTAAAACAAGCATTTGTTACTTGCTTTGGTACTATCAACAAGCATTCTGATGATAGCTCAGTAACATTAAAATTAGGGTTAGTTTAGCAGTAGGTTTAAGTTTTTTGTTAAAGTTAAGGTTCGAGTTAGGGTTAGGGTTAGATTTAATAGAAACTATCACACTCAACTTCAAGTTCAGTTGCATGTTAAAGACAGACAAAGCATTTACAGAGGACTATCAAAATAAAATGTTAAAGTTTTTTCTTCTTTTGCATCATAGCCTTATATTTTTTTATTATTATTATTTTGAGTGCATTTAGATTATTCCGACAAAAATTGCATAATTACACCATAGCGGTCACAATTACACAGGTCATATTACGACTCTCCTAATTACTCACTCTGCTTATGCTATCAAGGTTATGTATAACACCAAATAAGTGTAAAAAAAATACTTGCCAAAACGAAAGTATGCAGATAATAACATACTTGCTACCACGTTAAGATTGTGATTAGTCATAATACCCTGTTTGTTGAATTAGTGTATGAACAATGAGATCACGTGTTGATGGAAAGATACCGGTGTGTTCTAGAAAATGAAGATCCGAGCAGGGAGGAGGAGTCTAAGGAGCTGCAATACACTGAGATGAATCCCCAACAGACAGTGGACGATGAAGAAGGTGAGCTGCTGTACTGTCATTAGGGTGAATTGCAAAGATGTACTTACGAACACCTGCTTATACAAGACTGATGTACACTCACTGGGTACTTTAGTGGCTCCACCTTGCTGGTGTTCATTGAGAGTGTCTAGATCAGTGGTCACTAACCCTCCTCCTGGAGATCTAGCTTCCTGCAGACTTCAGATCCAGGACTGATTTGACCTCACCTGATCCATGTAATTACTGCCTTCAGAAGTCCTTGATTAGCTGAATGAAATGTGTTAGATTTGGGTTGGAGGTGAAACCTGCGAGTAGATCTCCAGGAGTATGGTTTTATACCATGAATAGTATAATATGGATAGTATATGCTATCTGATGTCGACCAGAGGAGGATGGGTTCCCCTTTTGAGTCTTGGTTCCTCTCAAGGTTTCTTCCTTTTGCTCTTAGGGAGTTTTTCTATGCCGCTGTCACCATTGGCGACACTCATGGGGGTTCGGACCCAGATTTTTTTAATGTAAAGCTGCTTTGTGACAACACCTGTTGTAAAAAGTGCTATATAAATAAACTTTGACTTGACTTGACTTGACCGCAGTTGGTGACCACTGCTGTGGACTACTGTTGATGTATCGTTTGTGTTGGTCAACTGTAGCCCTTCATCAGTGGTCAGTTTCTGACCACAAAGACACTATTTTAGGATGTTTTACGCAGCAGAGGCACTGAAAAGTGTAGGAACCCCATCAATGCTAATGTGCCTGATACACTAATACTAGAGCCACACACAGTACTATGCCACTATCATGCAAGTGTTGAGAATGATCCACTATTCATATATCTTGTCAACAGCAGTCCTGTGGTCACAAACTGATGATGAATGGGGTAAAGAGTGAGTGACTAGCTGTGTATTTGCAACCTATAATTGTGCATGAATATGCATTATCCTAATGAACTGGTTCAAAGTCAGAGCTCAAAACACATTTCAGACCTTTAACTGGCTTGAACTTTAAACTAAAATCCTTTTGCTTTGAGTGACCATATACCTTCAATTATGTTAAAGTTATTAAAACAAATGAGTGAACGTTCCATTTTGTCACTACTAAAATAATCATAACACTACTGAAACTTTACCGAGTGTTTCAGTGGTAACTGTTTCGGTAGTGACAATTTTAGCAAATTTTGAGCAGAAATCAAAAACGCTAGCCAGTACATGTTTAGTAAACACAGCTTGTAGACAAATACATTATTAATTGTTTTTCATTAAGGCACAAATAAACGTGTGTTTTAAACATTACATACTGATTTTCAGACTTTGGGACACACTTCAAAACAATGGGATCTAACTGCTCACCATTTGGCCATGAGGGACAGGGATGTAGTCTCACTTCCTGCTCTAAAATCAAGGGGTGTGGCTAAAATAAGGCACTGCCTATGGACTAAACCTCTTCATGTTTTGATATTGACATGAAAACATGGGACAGGATTTGTTTTACTTTATTTAAAAGCTGAACTCATGAAAAATCTTAATCTTTCAGCTTCAAGAGAAAGGAAATCAAAAATTTCATTAAACATAATCAAAGTATTATTTTCACAGGTTGAAATTTAGGGGTTACGGGTTATGATGATTTTGTATATATTCAATTTAATTCTTTTAACCTTAATGAATGCCTTAGGTTTAGAAAGTTGTAAACATCTAAGGTCTGAACACTTAACTGGATTGCAGTTTGAACTAATTCAGTAGAATAATTCCTATAGTGGACTTTAAGGACCGTGTACCTCATACAAAGGTCAGTAAGTGGAAATAGGTTTCTGAGTGTGTGTGTGTCTATGTAATAATACTGTAAAAACAAAATCATGATGATATGTCTATGCATGTAAATGTGTATATTTTACATCCAATGTTGATGCTTGTGTCTGTGTCCCAATAGCTCCCATGCAAGAATCAGTTGCAATGAATGGTGAGGTCCAGGACTGTACACAAGGTAGGCACAATGCTCTAAATTACACACATTCAAAAATGTAGTTTTTGTAGCTAATCAATTGACCTCAATGTTCTGCCCACAAATACATTCTTTTATAACTACTGTCATGAGGTCCTATGAGTTGAGGGTGCTGAGGGTGTGAGGTCATGCAATATTGTGAGCTTTTTCCATAACTTTTTTTTGGTAATTTACATTAGAAATAATGTGTCACAACATGCTATGTTACGAGAGATAAAGCACATATAACATGAGATATCACCCCTCTACTCTCATTCAGAATTACACTCGTATACAGGCTACATGCGGAACATTCAATACTTGAGTGCACACCGTTTAAGTGGGAGATGTAATGGTTTAAAAAATTAAAATCTATTAAAACATGGAACATTATTACATTAATTGATTTTTTAAGCAATATTAGGCCATCACAGAACTGGCATACAGCTGTATACTTTTACTTGCTTCTGTTTTACATTTACTTGCTTGTGTTTTAGTGACACGACCACCAAGCATCCAATAGTTTGAGAGGGGGAGCAGTTTGACTCACACTGATGCAAATATAGTGTTCACTTTAAAAGAAATCAAAAATATCTTTAAAAAATTTAAGTGTAACTTTATTACATTGTTTTTCATTAAACAATAGTGTGCAGCTTTGTGTCACAGAACTATACTTTTTACACACTGATCCAAATTGTTAACATAAACAGTGCATGGCCACTTCAGGTTGTATATATAAAATATATACATAAAACATACAATAAAAATACAATCTCCATCCTAAAACAAGCACATATACAGTTGTATGTGAAGGTTATGTTTTACATGTCATCAATGATGCACAGAAATACAGAAATATAGAAATAGAAAGAAAATTCACAAGAACAAATTATCACCTTTATTTCACAGACATTTGTGTTTATTTTAATAGCTGTAAAGGTAATTATTAAGTTAGATTTTATTATGTCATAACTAGTTTAACTAGTTGAACTGTTTAATTACAGTAAAGGCAGTGTTTCTAAAAAATTAAATGACTGTAATTTCACAGATTTTTACCATCACTAAGAAAACATACTTTTACTGTTTTTTACTGCTGGACTTTCTACACCTTTTTCAGATTCTTTTCTTTATAGTGTACAACAACAAGTCCAGCTTGGTAGTGCAGCATTTTAAACTGGAAACCCATCATTATTCAGCATCTCTAAACAAATGCTGCTACATTTTCTCATTAGGTTGAATGAGATTTTCACCAATATCCTGTAACCGTCATCCATCCATATGCTTTGAGCACAGAGAGGTTGATTCTGTCCCCTTCCTACTGAAATCACCATGTGTATGACTTTAGCATAGGGACGTGGCGTCTTAATTTAAATGTGTTTTTGTTAGCATAGTTGAGGCACCAGGTGTCCACTTCCTGTCTTGGTTGGGGGGGTGGCAACTTCCTGTTTTCACAATTGGCCCCTGAGCTTTAAGTCTTTCCGTCCAACCAACGCAATACGCTCTGCCATTGTTTCCCCAGCAAAAATAAACCCTCAACGGTTGTTTTTCCACGGCTGATTAATGGGTAGAGTACTCACTAATGGTTGTGGTATGTGAATGAAACAATGCTGAAACGCAGCAGAGTTGTAACACAATAATGGGTTAGAGAACGCTGACACATTATCGCACAATGGCTGTGTCTGAAGGGAAATAGATTAGTTATGCACATGCACATCAGCGTGGCACTAATACACAACAAGGCCAAGTCAAATGCCTCACACTCAACTACACGGGAGTTCACTGGAGCAGGAAAAGGGGCAAGGACACATGACTGATCTTTCATTTTTTTCAACTTACTCTCTCGCCTGTGTTTCTGTAGGTGCCACAGATGAAGGAGCCTCAGATGTAAGTGGAGCACAACACAGAAGTACAAAAACATACAACACACAGCACATTTATGTCTTTTGTTAATTGTCGCTGTTGTAAGAAAACCTTTTTTCTATGAAATTGCAACTTTATAGATGGAAAAAAGTTCCTAACTTTAAAGGGCCCATATCCTATGTTTTTTTTGTGTTTTATTTTTTCCCTGAAGTTCACTTATAATGTATGTGATATTTTATTTACCAAAAACAGTCATAATTCATTCATACATGATCATTGTCCAACCTCTCTTTAGAATTAAACAGGCTGTTTTTGTTATTCTGCCTTTAAGACTGATGTATGTAAATGCAAATCTGTTCTGATTGGCTGTTCTATATTGTGCCTCAATCAAATAGCAGTCCAGGCTGAAGTGTGCCATATAATTTCAGCATGAATAGACAGAGCTAAACTGTTGTAGGCTGAATAGAGAAAATATATGTAAACGGTCAGCCCAGTCTTGTCTGTTTGCCCATATGGTTCAATGGTTTTTGTGACATCACAAAAACAGGGAATTCAATACAGCTTAATTTCCATAATTGGACTGTGTGGATTGGACAGTGAATGGTACATATTAAAATTTTAACAATGTTTGATATATGAAGAGAGGTTGGAAAATATATATCAAACACTGTTATTTCAATACTTTCAATATCTCATGACATGGGCCCTTTATTGTACAGTGATGTAACAAGATTGCATTAATTCTAAGTAATTTCAGATTATTTCTATTAGCTGCTGGTTTCAAATGGTGTAAAAAAAAAAAGAAAAATAGGTTTTAGTATGACAGCGACAAAATGTTATATGGAGGTATGCTAAGGAAAAAATAAGTACTTATTAACCTAGTTTTCCATTATTATAGTAATTGATCTACCGACGAAACAACTTTATTGGAAACACTACAGTGTAGCTCTACCATGTACAGTCAGAGATTATAGCTCTAACTGTTGGTGCACAGTTTGTGTTAATCATCCTGTAGCTCCTCATTGGTGTCCAATTTCTGACCACAGAGCCGCTCTTGGCTGGATATTTTTGGATGATGGATCCCAAACTAGCAGTGACAGTGACAACACCACTGTATCTGATACACTCAAACCAGTAACAAACACACTACCATGTCACCACTATGTCAGTGTCACTGCTGTGTTGAGAATGGTCCACTACCCCAATAATTAAAACTATATAGTAGATATATATAGTAGATGTTTCTAACAAAGTGTGTGGTGAGTGCACAAAACACATTCAGTGTAATGCATTGCTCTGTGTTCATTAATGTGGGGATAAAATACTGCTGTTTGATTACCCGCACTGAAGCTGGTTTATTAGCTACAATCAAATCACCACTTGTTTTGTTGTCATAGGACAGTTTCCTGAATTAGACGCGGAGTAGTTTGTATGTTATTTTATGTTGATTACACCTTGTCCTACAAGCAGGCCAGAATTCATATATAGTATTGCACAGCATTACTGTTCACAAAGGCTTCAGGATGTCTACATTGGAAACACTAAGGATACACATCAAGTCAAAGCATACACAAATTACAGATCAGATTATAAGTGCAAAATGGGTGGTTATGCTCAGTGTGAATCCATTTTGTGGATTAGGATATTTAGCTACATATTTTGTGATTGCGTAAAAAAGATAAATGCAGTATCAGTAGCACAGATACACTCTAAGAAAGGCAAACCCTCCTTTGATTAACCAACTTTCCTTAGTAGACTAACATTTATGACAGTTCTGTAAAGCAGTAACGTCAAAGACCCTTTTTCTCACAATACTGTCAGACAGGTTTGTCATGTTGAAATGGCCTGTTTAAAATAAACACCACTCGCTTTGACATTTCCTATATACATATTTCCTAACACAATGAACTTGAAGGGGCACTTGAACGGACAAGATGAAAAATGTAACCATTGCTCCATCTGTTGTAAACATGCCTTCTCGCCTCCTATAGTGGTGCCACAATACTCTTGAGAGTAATATTTTTCTAAAGAATAGAACCCCTGAACCCCCCACCCTGATGTATTTTGAAGGTGAGGAAGGTAACGGGAGGAACTCTTGAATAACTATAAGCACTTTTAGGCAGATAATTTAGGACAAGGAGTCAGATAGCTTACGGTAATGCTAGGAAACCAGATATATCATCTGATTCCCAATGATTGCACGATGTATTTGCATTATGAATGCTAAGTATTGATGTAAGAGAACTACAAAACATGACAAATAACACATTAACTGCTAGCTTAATGCCAGAATGACAAATGCATTTTAATTTTAGTGTCACAAATGTTCAAATACTTCTTGGGGCCACTGTAGCTGACTTGGCTAGATAATCTAGCTAAGCTAGATAACACTAGACTTGTGCTTGGTGTAGACAGCTTGATTCAACAGCATTCTGGTTTCATTGTGGTCGCTCACTCACTGTGCAGGACAAGGTGTTAATTAATTTTATGGACAGTGATCAGTGGTTTCCCACTGCCCTCTCATACGATAAGAAATAGAACACGCCAATTTAGATACACGTTTTTCCCACACAGGGTTTTATTATTTTTCTTTTTTAAAGTAATTTTTTCCAATATGGTATTTTGGATTTTTTTTTTATTATTTTTAAAAACTTGAGAAATCATCAAAATAATCGGTACATTACTCGATACCCTTGTAGCGGACAGTAACAGCCCTACATGAATGTGAGCTGTTAAATACTGCCACCTAGCTGCATGGCCTGAGTGATGTCCTACATGTCTCTAAACATAAAATAGTGTCCAGAGTGAGGCCGCAGTCATGTTGTCTGCCGTCTGCTAATGAAGGGGTCATGGTGGACCTGGTGAATACAGGTACTGAGGCTGTCCCCTTTTCTCTCTGCCAGTCCGCTGTGGAGTACGTCCAGCTTAATCATGGCGAACCGGACCCTGAGTAGACCCCCGTCTCCACCAGAACCTCCACCAGCACTCTTCCACAATGTAATTACACAGCTAACTTATTCCACTTCCACTCCAGCTGCAGTGGCCCACGAAAGAGGACGCTCTGCCACGGTATATTTTCTGGGACAGTTTTGTATATGTGTTGATTAAGTGGTCACACAAGTGTTGATGTTGAGATTGTGACACTGTTTGTATAGCTGAGAATAAAGCTTGCACAAAATCAAGACTGCTGGTTTCCTTTTCCCTTTAATCTGAAGGGAGGCCCCTCACTTGGGCGTTTGCCGAAGCCTTCAGCTGTCCAAATGGGTTTCCTCTTGCAGAGGGAGGGAGCGCACAAAAACATCAGCGAATACTTTGAAGTTGGATAAGCAAGAGAAGAATGGATGTGTGGGTGAGCGAGTGAGTGAGTGAGTGAGAGTGTGTGGGCTTGGGAGGGTGGCGTGGCACAAGTGGGGAAAACAAAACATTTAGTGGCATTGAAGATACACTATATGTCAGAAGGTTTGTAGCTGTTTGTAGAAGATTCTTCTGAAATCAAGCATATTAATAGTGGGTTTGTCCCCTCTTTGCTGCTGTAACAGCCTTTACTCTTCTGAGAAGGCTTTACACTACATGTTGGAACATTGATGTGAGAATTTTGCATTAGTGAGGTCAGATATTGAAGTTGGATGTGTTCTGGATGACAAAAACTACTCTAACTCATCCCAAAGGTATTGGATGGAGCTCCATCACTCCGGAGAACATAGTTGCACTCCACAGCCCAATTTTGGGGGCCTTTATACTCTTCATTGATGATTGGCATTATTTATGGTGACTTTAGTCTCATGTGTGCCTGATCCAGAGCATCCCATTCTATTAGCAATGCTTTTCTGTGGAGATTATACAATCCATGTGTGAGCAATTGAACACCTGTGTCAGTATGGGTACACCTTAAAGTAGCTGGATTCACTAATTAGAAAGGTATCTGGATAGTTTTGGACACATGGTGTACATCTGTAGTTACCCATCATGGTGGTGTTGGATTTATTACTTTTCAAAGGTTTTGAAAGGAGAAGCAGATTATACCTGGTGATACACTGAGGGGAAACAAGTATTTATCAAAGTTGATTGTAAAATTAGCGCAGGCAATTTTCACAGATGGCTTGGTTATTTATTAATTTAATCTTTAGTGTATCTGTACAATCAAACTCAGGTCTGCTAGAAGTGCATACAAATTTGAGCTTAATATGTTGAGAGACTAATAAATGTCTGATTTGAAGTTAACATTATTGTCAATAACATCAATAATATCAGTAATAATGGTAACACATAACTTTGCACAAGGCAATCCTTGTACTAAAGTGGATGTACTTCTTTTTTTTATGTGCACACTGATATAAACAAATGCTGCACTTCTATGTTCTATTTAAAGACTTTTGCTTTATACCACTGATATAGTAAATAACAATCTCATTAATATACAAAACATAGTTTACCTAGTACATTAGAAGCTTATAATATCACTAAAGCAGCCATTGTTTATGAAAATGATTACACTACACAATTACTGACTTTATCTAAAAAAAAATATATATAGTCTGTTAAATTTTGTTCTTTTTACATTTTATTCTTATCAATCATAATAATTTTAACACTATAAAGCTGTTTAGGTTCTGGCCAGTAGGGGGAGCAGTGCATGACCTGCTCAACCCCAAACTCTACCTATGAAGACTGCCATTGCTCAGGAGCTGCTGAATAATTTTATTTTATTGGCTCACAATCGAAACATCTACATGAATTAGGGTAAACTTTGAATTAGGGTGTTAACTGTATGTATAAGAGGCCAAATTGGGATGTGTCCGCTTGTTTCTATGCACTGAGGTTGGTTTATTAGCTACAACCAAATCACCACTTGTTTTGTTGTCGTAGGACAGTCTCCTGAATTAGAAGTGGAGCAGTTTGTATGTTATTCAGGGCAGCCAAATCTGTGCACATTTCTGTGCAACTTTGAGGGCCAGGTGTCTTTTGTCTTTGTACTTATAAATATGAACAAAAATATATATATTTATAACCATAAAAACTAAATAAGTATTAAGTCTTCAGGCACTATTAAAATAAGCATATATGTAAAGGTTACAAACAAAAACAAATCAAGTTCTACATATTAACACTGCAGAAAAAAAGGTTAAAAATTATGCAAAATAACCTTGGTGCAGTTTAAAAGAGACTGATTGGGACGACATCATGCAACAAGTAGCAATCATGTTGAAGGTAAAAAAGGTTCCTAAAAATGTCAGGGACAGTACTATTGAATTACACTTGAATAGAAAAAAGCTGCAGAGCCTATCAAAGACCTTAAACATCACTGTTAATACAACTGGGTTAATAAAATATAAGTGGAAATTTCATGAAACCACAGCTAATCTTCCCTGAACAGGTGTGCCATACAGGACGATCTGAAAGCAGCAGGAACAACAGCTGAAAATCATGTGCTGTGGGAGGGTGGCCGGGGTGGCAAGTATCCATCCTGAAATCTGATTGGCCACCGCAAAGGCGTTTGCACCTTTAAGAGGAGAGTTGTTTCGTTATTAACGATCATCACAACACCTGTCCAACCTCTCTCCACCCCCCAGCCCCATCAGAGGGACCCTCGTAACCTTGGGGAATTAAAGACAGTTTACACAAATGGAATTGGGCCAAAATTGAACCACAGAGCTACCAAAGCAAGTTACTTATTACTGTAGATTTTTCAAAGCTGTCCATGAACAGCTCTGCAAGCGCTAATGTTACTGAACATCTTTTTGTCTATATTTATAAGTACAAAGTCATAAGACATTACATTTGGACATTGGAAGTGGATACATGCTCTGGAAATATATTAAATAATAAAATCAAAAGGATCTGAAAAGTTGTTTCCCCTCACTGTAAGTCTAATTCTGTGTTTCAACTCTATTATATAACACTAGCTACTCAAACTCTAGGCTACTACTGCCAAAGAAACCTAACCACCACATTTGGCCAAGATTGCTGCTTTGTAAGGGATGTTTTGGCAAGGATCAAGTCTTATGATGTCAGTTCAGTGCACAGCAGTGCTAGGTTGCAATATAGCGATATTGCTATTTCAACTTCTTAATGACCTGTAAGTCAGAGAATTATTCTGAGGGGAAAAAAGGAACTTAAATTTATACATATTTTACAAACAATTAAACACTATGAGAACAAATGCTTCAGTATGTTAAGAAATAAATGTATTCAAGTGTTCCTTGCAGCATAATAATGCATAAATTGCATTACTTTATAAATGTACATTCAAAACGCCCATTTTAAGTGTATTTCCATAAAATACATGAAAGTTTCTGTATACCTTAAGTATAGTATTGATGTACTTGAGTATGTTTTTTGTTTCTTTCTAAAGAATGAAGAAGCAGCAACGCTCTAAAGACAATGTGGAATTCTGCCCTGCTATTGGAACAGCTGGTCTGATAGAATTAAGTAGCCTAGCCATGTTTTATCAGCATGTACCTTTACCTAAGTAAATGAGTATGTACAAACCCCATTCCAAACAAAGTTGTTACAGTAGGTAAAGTGCAAATAAAAACAGAAAACAGTGATTAGTACATCTACTTTGATCTGTATTTACAGTACAGGGATGAGATATTTGATGTTTTACTTCATCAACTTCATTGTTTTTTCTAAACATATCTCCTACTGAAACTGATGCCTGCAACATGTTTCCATAAAGCTGGGATGGGGCAGTTTTAGACTAGAAACAAGGCGTGAAAAAGAGGGAATCCTGGGGGGTCCCTGAAAATAAACATTTCGTAAAGTTATGGTATTCATTAGGGAAAAATTGACACTCAAATAAAAATTCAGGGAAAGCTCATTGTTTAGCTGCTTCTGTCTTTGGCATTCTTAACTCCATAGCCTACATTCTTAATAAAGATGGTTCTTTAAGGGTTCTTTAGTAAAGAAAATGGTCCTGAAACCATGAACACTCAATCCTTTGCATGACTAAAGGGTTCTTTGCATTGTGGAAAGGTTATTCAGATTGATGGAGAATGTGCTGAAGATGGTTCCATATAGAACCTCTTTGAAAAGGGTTCGATATAGCACCAAAAAGGGTTCTTCTATTTTTATGATTCAAGCTTGTAACAATAGAAGAGCCCTTTTAGTGTTATATAAATCTCTTTCATGATTTTAATTAAAGGGTTCCGTAAGTATTCATGGCTCTATATAGAACCTTTTTTTTTCACAGAAGAGCCCTTGAAGAACCAACTTTTGGAAGAGGACATTACCAAACTAGAAAAAAGAATTTCCAAAAAAGAATTGTTAAACAAAACATTTTGTTGCCACTGAAGCTAGCATCAGCGCCACCACATCAAGTTGGTAGCCAGTCAACACTGGAGTTGCCAGCCAACATGGGACCCCCCCACACCAGATACAATCATGCATGGATATAAAAGAAGCATCCAGAAAAAGGCCTAGTTTTTTATGAGCAAGGAGGAGTTGAGGCTCATCACTGTGCCAAAAATACATCAGCAAAAAATCCAGCAGTTTAAAAATAACATTCTTCAGTAAGCAATTGCAAGGATTTTAGTTATGTTACCCTCTACACTGCATAGCATCATTAAAACATTCAGGGAATCTGGAGAAATTTCCATGAGTAAAGGACAAGGCCAAAAATCTGAATAAATGCCTGTGACCTTTGATCTGTTAGACAGCACTGCATTAAACATCAGCATACTTCTTTGCTAGATCTTACCACATGGGTTCGGGATTGGCAAACCATTGTCAATAAACACTGTCCGTCACTGCATCCACAAATGGAAGTTACATTTGTACTAGGCATAGTGGAAGTCACATGTGGACAACACCCAGAAACACTGCTGACTTCTCTGGGCTTAAGGTCATCTGAAATGGACTGATGCATATTGGCCATTTTCAGCTTTTGGCAGACACTCTTAATCCAGAGCAACTTATAATTTTATCACTTTACAGAGGTAAGCAAAGAAGGTAGAGTTAGGAGTCTTGCCCAAGGACTCTTATTGGTATAGCATAGGGTGCTTGTGCAATTGGGGGATCAAACCCCAGGCTACAGCATTGAGGGTCGAAATGTTACCCACTACACCATACCAACAATGGTAGAAATGTCTGTTGTGGTCTGACAGGTCAACATTTCAGATATTTATGGAAATAATGGATGTGTTCTCTGCATCAAAGAAGAAAAGGGCCTTCCAGATTGTTT